CCAACCATCTTATATCTAGAGAGATGTATAATAACATTTGAAAGACTATAGTATAACATTTAAAAAACTATAGTGTATGTTATATGGAGTGTGAATAGCTAATCCAAATTTTTGCTTATTTTAACTCATGTTATAATATTTGTATGTGTATGAATTATTAACTTATAATTGGATTATTATTTTTTATAAAAAGTATAAAATAAAAAAATATTATGACTGTTAATTTTTAGTCTATACTTAATTTATTTATCTTTTAATATTTTCCTTGCTGTTATAAATTCCAAAAAAATATTGGAATAATATATTTTGTAACTTCTAAAAGTTGGTGGTTTTCTTTCTCTTTGTGATTGCGTGAAACCTGATGGGCACGTTTTTGTAACCAATGCACTTATTCAAACCTTCAATTATTACTTGGCTAGGCGATTAAGAGGGGAAAAAAATTGGTTACTATCTGAAGTTTCACATTTTTGGCACATCACTATATGGCAGATTGAGATCGTTTTCTTAGCCCAATAATTGCATAAACATTAGCCGAGATTTTAAAACATTAGCCGAGATTGAGAAGAAACTCGGCAGATTGAGATCGTTTTCTTAGCCCAATAGCTGCATAAAGCAAATATTTTGAGAAAATTACACTTTTTATTTTCAAATCTCATTTTATTTTCATACTTACGAAATTTTTATTTAATTATAAATATACTAACTTTTATAGTTTATGTATGGTTAATTTTTGTCATTTATCTTTAGATTGTATTATTATTTGGTTTATGTCAAGTTTGTAAATGATTTATGTATATTTTTATTTTGAATGATGTAATCTTGCAAAAATTTTGAAAAATTATAATAACCATGTAAAATATTCAAATATTTTTTCTCGTCATATTGTACAAATCAATGTTTTTTGACGCTGTTTTTTAACACTGAAGCACCTCAAAGAATCATCCCAATGATCTGTTTCGTTCTCCCAGAAACGGTTGCCTGTCACTTGCCATTATGGGCACAATTTATTTTATTATACATTTATTCATATATTATTTTTTTCAATAAAATGTACTACTCCAGTGATCAACTCATACCTCATTATTTTGGTATCACCTCGATTCGTTAAACTTTATCTTACTTTGCCATGCACGTGGTCTTTATCAGTTTAAGTTCAATAAAATAAATTAATTAATAGCAAATTATTGTAATATTATAGTAGTAACAATGATACTCTTATTGTAGTAACAATAAGAGCTCACTTTATTTTACTATAAAGTGCAAGTGCGATGCACGTGGTCTTTACCGTTTTAAGGTTAATAAAATAAATAAATTAATTTATTAAGCATATCATAGTAGTAACATAATAAAATATAGAATAAATGAGCTCTTATTGTTTTTTTTAAATAACATAATGATAATCAAAAGGAATGAAATAACATTAGAACTCCAACAAAATACATGAATATGCGTCTCTTATAATGAAAAAACAATAAATAACTAAATAAAGACCTAATGTATATTATACAAACAGTAGTTTTTTTATTTATTAATGTTAGATGATGTAAGAGTGATAGTCTTTCATTTTGGTTTTGACGTTCTCATAAAAAACATTCATACCTGTTGTAGCTCAATACATTAATAGTATTGCAAAATTAGGAGCTCAATATATTAATAGTATTGCAAAATTCTTCTTAATTCTAGTGACAAAATATTTATTTTGGCCAAATATATAATCAAACTTCATGATTGTATGATCTTTTCATGAATATCTTTGTGAATAATCAATCGTGTCATTAAAATTGTTAATATCTTTTTATTATTATATAAACTACTTCATTACTCTCTCTCTCTCTCCATATAGATAAATTGGTACCTACCCCATGGAGGCATCGCTCCATGGGGTGGAAATGAATTTTATCTCCAAATAAAAGCTGACTTTTCAAGTTTTTTGTTGCATGTACTTCTCTTGAGGTGCTAAATTATTTTTTGAAACCATACACACTCTAAAGTAATTGCATATATGTTCGAGCTCAATACACCAATGAGATTGTAAATATTTATATCAAAAGGTGACAACTTCCAACCATTCAAAAATATTTTGAGACTCCGACATTCTCTTTAAAAGTTTATTATTTGAAAGACAAGCGAACTATATAATCTATTGTTTGCAAATCCATCTTGGTTGTTGCAATGATTTTACAGTTATTTATCATAACATCTTTAACATTCGTGCGATTGTTATATTTATGTGCCTAACTTGTTTGATGCTTTTATTGTCCAATTTTCCGCATCATACATAATGCTTTGAATATTCAAGATAAAGATCATTTCTTGATATTTCAATAATGACAAAACAAAACAAAACAATGATACATTATTTAGAAGCATATCATTTATTAAAATATTTGTGATGAGAAGAATTAAAATTCTATTATATTATGATACTCTTAGTCATCTATGAACTTTATTATTACGAAGTCATTGTTAAAATCTATATTATTTATTACAAAGTTTATAATTTTTAAATTATTCAAAATTTATAATATATGATCATTATTTATGACAACCAATTTCTTACAGAGTCCATATATATTAAACGCTAGCAACAAACAATGTAGTAATTTTAAAAGACTTTTGTTTCTATATATTGGTATTCATAATTCTATAAAAAATTCACACTTTTTCCTTTTCTCACTGCATTACTATTGTTTTATTTATTTTTTATATCTATTTACAAATATTATTTTATTTATTAAAAGAATTGAAGCACATTTATTTGTATTGCGTAATTTTGTGTAAGTATTTTAAATAATGACGTTGTTATCAAAATATTTTATCTATTATGCTACAACTAATATAATCACACTCATTTAAGAAAATGGTAAGAAATCGTTTTGTGGTATCAAGTTTACAACGTTGTTGCAAATATATGCAGTCATGGAATCACTCGCCACGGGGCGCCTGAGCCTTGTTATGTAGAGGCATAACGTGCACAATTATAAACCGCATCTTCATCTGTTCTTGTGTTTATAGATTTAGCAATCGAAGAATTTATGCTACATATGCTGCATGCACTAATTCCAAACTATATTGTCTATCTTAGTCTTACAATGTTACATCTAACATTAAATAAAATCATATACGCCAAACAACATGTATGTAATAATTTATACTTACATATAATTAAGCATAATTGTGTGACACGAGGAACGTTGTGGGTCAAGTATTTATCTCGCAAACCTTGTATATGAGGAGGTTCTAAATTATGTGAACTACGAAAATGTTATTTTTAATTACGTGTAATATTATTTTTCCTTACATCTTTTGCTATTTTTAATCAAGATTCATTTTTTAAAAATTGTAATAGTATGAAAATAATACACACACACACATACACATATATATATATATATATGTATGATAGCATCATCTGATATGAAAATTAGAATGACACATAATTAAAAATAGTATCATATTTGGTTATCACATTTGAAAAGAAAAAATGTTTGGAGAAATAGGTAACTTAAAAAATTAATTAGCTCTATAATGTGAAATTAATGATAAATGTGATATATAAAAAGAAATAATTAACTATAATGTAATGAAATAATAATATAATGATCGGTAATCATAGATATGTTACGCTCCGACTCCACTATAGAGTCAGTTATCTGTTCCGGAAAAATTGCACTATTCGTCCTATAATTGTTTCCGGTTTACTTTTGGTATACTAACATTTTTTTTTTGGTAATTTTAGTCCAAATCGACATTCCCGTGCTCATTTTTGTTGGAAAAGCTGACGTGGCGCCCAGTCATATTGTAGTTTTGATTCCGACATGATGTGGCACGAGATGGGCCCAAGTGTTTGGACACATAGACACATAAAGGACGAAAGTGCAGCGAGAGTATAATTAGTGGACAAATAGTGCAATTTTTCCACAAAATAATATTAAAACAAAAAGAAGAAAAAGCTTTAAATTCCACATGTGAAGACATGGGGATAAAAATAAAAATAAAAAAAAAAACTTTGAAAAATGATTTAAACATAATAAAAATTATTTTTTAATTTAATAAAAAATAAAATATTAAATGATTAAATAAAAACGAAATATTCAATAAAAAACGAAATAAATTTATAATGAGTGATAAAAATTTTTATTTAATTATTAAGTATTTAATTAAAAACAAAATATTTAATAAAAAAATGAAAAATATTTCTTTTTTTATTAAATATTTAACCATTAAATAGAAAATATTTATTACTCATGTAATATTTATTTCGTTTTATATTTATTTTTTATTAAATATTTCGTTTTTATTTAATCATTAAATATTTTGTTTTTTTATTTAAATAAAAAGATATTTTTCATTAAACAAAAAAAATGAAAAATATTTCTTTTTTTATTAAATATTTAACCATTAAATAAAAAATATTTATTAAATGTTTATTACTCATNTTATCTATTGGAAAAATTTCACTATTCGTCCACTAACAATACCCTCGTTGCACTTTCCCCCTTTATGTGTCCATGTGTCCAAACACTTGGGCCCATCTCGTGCCACATTATGCCGGAAATCAAAACTACGATCTGACTGGGCGCCACGTTAGCTTTTCCAGAAAAAATGAGTACCGGAATGTCGATTTGGACTAAAATTACTAAAAAAAATGTTAATGTACAAAAAGTAAACCGGAAACAATTAAAGGACGAAAGTGCAACGATGATATAGTTGGTGGACGAATAGTGCAGTTTTTCATATCTGTTACATATAAAAAACTATGAGTTAAATATTACATTTATAATTGGTGGATGGAAAAAAATTCAGTACATATTCACCACCCAAAATTCAAACATAAATTTTGGATTGAACTAACCCAACAAACAACATTTAATTAATCGGTTTTGTTTTATTCATAAATTATCTAAAAAATTTCATAAAAAATACCTGGTAGGACGAACAAAGAAACAAAAGAAGTTCATGGAGATATCAACAATTAATTAATTAATACATCCAAAAATATGAACCTCAAGACTGAGAGCCTATTTTCCTCCGCAGACAAAAACAACCGCCATGCTGTCCTCCTCTCCGCCACCCATTCTCTCTATAAATCCAACGGCCCGCACTCTCACACACTCACTCACTCTCAGTCTCCAAAAGATCTTCAAAAAATAATGGATATCTGGTCGTGGATATGCGAACTCCCCAACTCGGCCGATCTGGACCTTCCCAACTCATCCCTCACCTTCCAACTCGCCACCAACACCGACTCGACTCATTCCATCCATCTCCGGGCCACCCCGGACTCAGAAACCTCCAATATCACCTTCTCCATATGCCTCGACAACAATCCCCACCCCGTCTGGTTATCCAACACGTGTCCCCTCTCCTCAGACAAACCCTTTCTCCCCCTCCTCCTCCAGCTCCTCCACGAAATCGCGTCCCGTTCCCCCACCTTCTTCCCCCAACCCCACCTCAGCCGCCTGATCAGACCCGAGCCCGTCTCGTGGGCCCTCGACTCCCACTCACCCGAATCCTTCTCCTCCTTCTTCACTCTCATCTTCCTCACGCGCCTCTTCTGGCTCTGCGCGTGCGACTCCCCACCCCAATTCGGCTCCCTCTACTTCCACTCCCTTCTCTCCCCCAATCTCGCCCTCTTCTCGTCCCGCCACGCGCCCGTCCTCACCAACTTCTTCCTCTCGGCCGGCGCTGACGTGGAGCTCTGCCTCGCCCGCTCATTCGGCTACGTCCTCGCCAAGTGGTTGGTTCTTCGAGACATCGAGACTAAATCCCCCTTCTCCCAAATTAATCTCGGATTTTCGTACTCGGTCGAGACTCACGGGCTGTGGATTCTCAAAGCGTACACCCCCGTGAGGTCCATGCGGTCGACCCGAATAGTTAATGCTCGGGACGCCCTTCTGAAATACGCCCTGGCACACCAGCAGCTGGAGGCTGTGGTCCAGTTCGATTACGCGGTCGAATATTTCGAGAGCTACGTCCACGTCACCGCCCGCCTGGACAACATCAGGATCCACGTGGCGAGGTTGGGGTACAAGAGAGATGATGATGATGATGACAGCGGCAGTGACCTCATCGACGAGAAGCATTTCCCGTCGAGGGTGAGGGTTTGGGTGGGGCCGGAGGTCGGGGCGGGTTACGTGGGCGGGCTGAGTTTGGGCCGGTCCACGGATAATGTGGAGCGGGAGACGGAGGTCGAGAGGACTATGAAGGGTGTTTTCGGAAAAACGAAGGTACCTGAGGTGAGGGCGGTTGCAAGGATGTCGACCCGGACGAAGATGAGGAGCTGGAGGTGGGACCAGGATGCGGAGGGGAACGTGGCTATTTTCGAGGNAAGGAGATGGAAGGGAGTGTGTTGAGGTGGAGGATTGGGGCGAAGGTTTGGTTGAGTTATTGGCCTAATGATGTGAGGAGTAGCTACTGCGAGACGCGGTGTGTGGAGTGGTGTGGTGAGGTGGATTTGCCATTGATACCTAGTAGAAATTAGAGGTTATTGTGTGTGATGATTTATTATGTGTGAGTTCGTTTTGGTGATGGTTAATTTGAGGAGGGTGTATATTAGGAAAAAAGTGAGATTTTCGTTCTTTACATGACACCTAATTGAGATTTGGTCCTACTAGTTAATCGATTTTTGAAAATATTCTGCAAATGCAAGTAAACGTGATATTTCATCCTTAACACCGGGAAAAGCCGGTCATTTTTATCGGCTAGCTTACGTTGAGTTTTCACCTGATTTTTTTTTGCTAAGTTGTAAGACTGAAGCTTACGTGGCTGATTATGTGACATACAACGGCGAATCGAGGATGATTATATGATAGGGTCACCATTAATTAACACCGCATTGTCGCTTGCTTTGTAGGTTTGGTGTATCTTTTTCTTTTTTTTTTAATATATGTATACATATATTGACGGAATGGGCCTGAGGCCACTAAATATATATATATATATATATATAGAGTTAGGATCATACGAGAATGGTAGATAGTGAAAGAAATAAGAATGAATCTAGACCATGCGATCAATCATATCAATGGGTATGATGAAGTCAAAATATGGTCAATCATTAATGGCAATCCAGTAATTATCTGATCATATTATGGTCAAACATATGTATTTAACAATAATTAAGGGTAATATGGGCATTTAATTCAAACTTAAGAACAGGTGGGACCCACCACTACCACGTTAATATCGTACCAACCCACCAAGCCCCTCCCTCATTATCTTACACACACAAACACACACACATTACAGAACACACACACACGCACTGTGAAGTGCCGGACCGCCAAAAGCCGCCGCACACGCCGCCTCACTCGCCGCCGCGCCCGCGACCAACTCACCTCTCGATAGCACTGACCTCCACCGGACACATCGATCTCTATCTCACTGTTACTATGGCAACACCTCGCCGGAAAATCTCACCGGATTTACACCACCGTCGATGGCCGTCGTCTCCACCAACACATACGTCGTCTCTCCGCTAGATCCCCAACAGATCGGCACAGATCCGCAAGGGATGTCGTCTCTGCCGCAATCGGTCACAAAAGCACGGAACAGCTTCGCCGGCAGTCTACCACAATCGGTCCCCAACAGTTCGGCACAGCTCTGCCGTCTCCCGCGCTCAGTCGTATCCGGCATAGAAGACCGTCGTCGATCCACTGGACGCCGTCAGGTGGCCGCGACTCAAGAAAATCTGCTGGGAATGGTCGGAGAATGAGTAGCCGACGGGACCTCTGCAAATCTGCCGCTGATGTAACACCGGCGGGACGAATACGTGTCGTCCGACGGCAAGGCGGTTCACTGCCGCCGGCGGAGGCGGCTCGTACGGCAGGGGGCAACTGTAAAGTGTGTGTGTGTGTATTGGGGTTGTTATATTGGGAATTTGATAACATATAAGGATCCAATTGCAATTGTAAAATTATTAATTTATTACAATTAAGTTCATGGGTCATATTTGTAATTAATCAAAATTTTCATTTTGGATGGTTTTGATCGTTATTGTGCAATCTAACAGCCGTTTATGTGCAACCTGTCTAACAATATTGTGCAATACCAATATGTAAAAATTTATAATAATAATAATAATAGTGATAATAATAATAATACTTTATATAGTTCGATTATTTATTTATTTTAAAAATTAATGCAAACATCGAACAAGAATAAAGTGCAATTCGAAAATTGTAGTTATATCGGCTTATGAATATATTGTGCAATGTGGTAGTCATTACAGTGCAATTTATATATCACTATTGTGCACTTACTCTCATGCATATTTAATTATTTGTTCCAAATCAAACTAAAAATGATATGGAATAATTGGTTTATTTGATTAATTAATCAAAATTTCCTAAATAATGTAAAGATTTATTATTCATTAATATGAAAAATATATTTAGTATTTTAATATTTATATTTAATATTTTACATTATTAGTGTTTGGAAAGATATGATAATAGAATAGCGAAAGCAATAAAGTGCACTATCGTAGACAATAAAGTGCAATCCGGTAGACAATAACGAGCATTACAAATAACATTATTATGCAGTCTATTT